GAATCCTGCTCCTATACTACGAGCCTTGCTACCCTTCCACCTGGTCTCCTGTACACACAGTATATCCACCTTCCTTCTCTCCATCATATCAGCCAGCTCTCTACCTTTCCCTGTCATAGTACCAACATTCAGAGTTCCTATTCTCAGTCCTACACTCTTACCTTTCCTCTTCTCTCTCTGTCTACGCACTCTCCTCCCTACTCTACTTCTTCGACCAACAGTAGCCCAATTTCCACCGGCGCCCTGTAGGTCAATGGTGCCGATGGCGGTCGTTGTTAACCCGGGCCTCGACCGATCCGGTATGAAATTCTGAGTACTGACGATTCGCATGATTAAATTTGGCAACGTTTTACGCCAGATGCCCTTCCTGACGCAACCCTCTCTATTTATCCGGGCTTGGGACCGACACAGAAGTCACTGGACTGTGACCCCCATGGCTAGATTCAAACATAGAAAAGTTTACTGACACTATACTCTGTAGCCCCATTGAGTAGAAAGGATTATAACCACCACACTAGGACCGTAATCTTATCACCAACCTCATGTAGCCTTGGGCAGTGGTGGCTTAATGGTTAAGGCTCTGAGTTACTGACTGGAAGGTCGGGCGTTCAAGCCCCAGCACTGTCAGGTGCCACATCTGCTCCAGGGGTGCTGTATCTTGGCTGGCTCTGACCCCAGCTTCCTAGCAAGCTGGGATGTGCGATAAACTGCATTTCATTGGCTCTGTACTCGTACTCTGCACAATGGCAGTAAAGTTGAATCTAATCTAATGTAGTGTTACCCTGCGTTCACACTAGCGAGCGACACGTCGCTTGTAGGTGTGAAACGAGTGTTACTGTTGTCACCTGTTGGTGTGTACTCGCTTCTGGGTGTATACCATTGTGACAAAAAGTTGTTTGAGTTGCATGTTATGTGCCAGGCTTTGTTTCAGCTATTAGCAAATTGGCAGCGCAAGCTAACTATACTAGCTACAGACATTCTCCAGAGACACCAGTGATCTCTTTGTAATGCCTCTATACACATTTAATGAGAGGTCGTATATGACAGGATAAGACCTGACCACAGTTATATGTTTCTCTTCCTTTTTTGAGTCAAGCAGTATATAGGAACTTATTGTAGGTAGGAACTAAAGATGAGTAGAGAAATGTACCACATGCAGCATACAATTGGTCCGAGGAATCATTCGAGCCAATCGTTTAGATTTGTTGCTTTAACTAATTTCCATAAAGTTGCATAAGCAGCCCGCATGTCACTTATCGTGCATTATTTCTTTCTTCTGAGAAAATTGAACGCACAACATAGAAACAAATGAAGAAACATATAAAAACTCCAAATACTGAGCTCTAGCTAAGTATTGGAGCTAACCTGCATACCTGATCAAAAACCAAAAAAAAAAAAGAGAAAAGATAATGTAAATCATTTTAAAAGGCCACATTTGGGGCCTTCCCAGTCTATTTTATAGTTTGGCAGCCGTGACTCTACACAACCCCTACATTTAGTTTGGTGATTATCCTCTTCCTTAATCATCCTGGTTCGCAGCGGAAGCAGTGTAATTAGTCATGTCATGCTGAGTCACGTGGATCTTCTTTTTCCCAACTGCTGCCACTTTAACCCACACTCCAAAAAAAGCCAATCTGAGGCAGAGGAAGAGACTTGAGATTTTTTTTTTTCTATTCAGCGTGTGTGTGTGTGTGCATGTAACATTGAGAGCGACCGTCATCAGGCTTAGCTGGCAGTACAAAGGCCGCTGATTGCAGCTTGAATTTTAGCATCTTTCTCTCTCTTTGTCTGTGCCTGATTGCCTTTTCAGGAGAACATTCCTGCCCTCCTCCTCCTCGCCTGTTTCACCTCTTTGGGCACAGGGCTGTATACTGGCAAAAAATAATATATTAGCACGTAAAAATATCTCAAAATATGCAAATGTATATAATATGTTTCTTTTATAGATTATTATAAAAAAAATTATTTCTAAGAGTATTTTCTAATTTCAAGCTTGGAATATTCTGTTGGCAAATAATTTTGATCTTTTCAGCCATTTATTTCTAGAAAAAAGAAAAATTATCAGCCAATGTAATTTCAAGCTTGAACTTAGTAACAATATCAAGAAATAGGTTTCATAGTCTTTCATTTGTTTTACAATAATCTTATAGGAAATATTATATCAGTTTGAAATATTAGATTTTCACTTGATATCAGTGAAAGCAACTATATAATATATTAAAAGTTTGGTTATATTAAAAATATATATACAATTTATTAATGCTAACTAATATATTAACAATGATGTAGAAGCAATGTTGAATTAATTATAAATAGCTTATTGCCAAAAGTTTAATTTAAATAAATTATAGTACCCAATTATGTTTTTCAGTGTAGGCTAACCCTCTATCTGAGTAACGAAGCCCAGATGTGGGTAGTAACCTGCTCCTTTCATTTTATTACTATAAGGAAAAACTCAGGGACATGCTGTTATGGGAAAATAATCTATGACAGGGTAGTCTGATGCAGCCTAATGCAAAAAAGAGTTACTCTTATTACCCTGAAGTGTTTTATTCTTCTCATACTACAATAATTTGCCAGAAATCACATAATTTTATTAATTAAAGAATGACATACTTTTTTAAAACACTTTTTAGTTTTAGCTCTTTTGTTGTGGAACCTCTATGAAACAAGTTAGTTCCTGTTATCATTTACATTATAGCAGCTATGAACAGTCGTTTCCTCACCAACCTCACTTTTTTTTTCTCTCAAAAAGTGCAGCTTGTCATGTCACTGAGAAGCCAGAAAGCCATCTGTCTTAAAGACATTCCCAGAAAGTCAGAAAATGTACTCACTGTTACAAATTGCCGACACTGGAGACTCCTTCCATGAATGCTAAATAAACGTCTCAAAGAAAACTTTACCATATCAGCAATGATATTTTTTTTCTTTGGTACACAACACATATTTGTCATTTGTTTCTTATTCTTATGCATTACAATTAGAGTGAAGTGAAGTGACGTGTAGCCAAGTATAGTGACCCATACTCGGAATTTGTGCTCTGCATTTAACCCATCCAAGTGCGCACACACACACACACACAGTAGTGAACATACACACGGAGCAGTGGGCAGCCATTTTTGCTGCAGCACCCGGGGAGCAGTTGGGGGTTCAGTGCCTTGCTCAAGGGTCTCACCGCAGTCGTGGTATTGAGGGTGGCAGAGAGCACTGGTCATTCACTCCCCCCACCTACAATCCCTGCCGGACCCGAGACTCGAACCCACGACCTTCAGGTTCACCTTCGGGTTACAAGTCTGACTCTCAGACCATTAGGCCACGACATGTTATTACAATAACATGTTAGAATGAGCACATCAGTATAAACCTGTGATTTGTCTTGTATCTGGAACTACTATCAGAGCTGCTGTTACAGAAAATTAACACTTTCTGACTAATTAGAATAGAGAATTCAACCATGATGTGGTATAAATACAGTAAAATAGATTTTTGAATAATAATACTTGTTCAAGTAGCCTTTATTATGGCTCTGACCATGCTTAATGGTATTTTGACTGCTTATGTAGTGTAATTTTATATCCATTACTTGTCTTGTGGAGGTTAACAACAATCTTTTTCTTATGTGGTGAACCATTCTTTGGTTTTCTAGAAAATTATATATTTTACATGTGTGTAACCTCACAAAATTGTGTAGAGATATTAAGAGCGTTTTTTTTTAAGGATTACAATTTTCATTTATTTCAAATATTCCTTCAGGGTGTAAATACATTTTCCAAATTTTAGAAAGAAAATGATATTATTCATGGATTCTGTCCATGTCTGTGTCCCTGCATTGCGGAAATCAGGGCTTTTAGTAGAGATACGTGACTCTACCACAAGACTTGTACAGTATATTCGATTCTTTCTTGCTAATGAACTCTACATCTTGTTGAGTTATGCAGTTCAGCTCAGCATCTTCTGCCTTTTCATACTGACACGAACATATCACAGAGCCCGTTCCATTATGTCAACCAAATTGTTTCGCATCGATCAGCACTGAGCTTTGTGCCGTGTTAATTTATCAAACTCGAGAGCAGGTTGTTTTCTCCATTATCCCTGAACTCTTTAGCAGCTCGATTTTGATTCATGGGCTCAGAACGGGACGCGAGCGAGGACATCCACCCACCTCCAGCAGCCTCACTCCCAATGTCGTTTGTTAAAGCAGAGAATCTCTTTTCTCCCATCGTTCATCTCCTTTTTACAGTCAAAAGACGATTTATAGGCGTTTTTGCATTCTGGCTCAGGAGGCTGTTCTAGGAGAGTGTGTGACTTTTCAGTGGGGTTTTTGTTCACATTTTACCTCTGGGTTTAGAAAACAGGATGGTCCACCAGGAATCAGTAATGTTTAAACCATCAGAGGGAGAGAAAGGAAGAGAGAAGAATAGAAGAGACAGAATGAAAGGTGGAATATAGATGAACAAAATTGATTGGGGAAACTGAGAGCAAGAGAGGGCAAGTAAAAGAAAGGAAGGGGGGGAGCAGGATATAAATGCACTAGAAAGCATATAGCAGTACAATGGGAGAACATTGCTGAGGCAGTTATTATTTCAACTGTGCATAATATATTGTCATAGAAATAAGGAATGAATCACTTGGGGGCATGCTGTTATAGGAAAATAATCAACAGGTGATACAGCAGAGTTATTGTTACCATTATTTTCCTATAACAGCATGCCTCCGAGTATTTTATTCCTCTTATACCACAGCAATTTGCCAACACTAACAAATGTTATTGTTAGTGGTGTACATTTTATCCTTTTATAGTTACACTTAATGTTACGTAACATGTGCAAAACTTATCACTTACTTTTTTGCAGATACAAACATTTGTTCCCTCAAAAAAGCTCATCTTTTTATCTCTCTCCTGAAATTACTGAGACAAAAAAACACAACTTGTTATGTAACAGAGAAAGCACAAAGTGTAAATCTCTCTGTTCTGAAGACTTTCTCGTGTCAGAAGACTTAATGTTACAGGTTTAGTTATGAATGTTACAAAGCTCTGACACTGGAGACATCCATAAATTCTAAACAAACATCTCATAGAAAATTTCACTATATTAACAATTGTTTTAATCCACATGTTTTAATCCATTTATGTGGAGCATCCGCATGATGTGATTGCCTTCTGACCAATCTTGCTCTTCCAAAACATTCCAAAGCACACACACACACACCACCTTCTTTTACTCTCTATAACTCATTTATTTAAAAAAACAAAAAAAACAACTGAAGCTTTTTATTCACTAGTTTCATTAGAGTACCTAATTCCCCTGTTGGAAATGACAATCTATTATAATTGCATTTCTCTGCATATCTAGTCATGTTGTATTACAGCATAATCTTCCAAGACTGCAGGATATAAACATTTAAATTAGGTTTATAAAAGGTCTAGACTAAATCTGATTCTAAGGCTACTCTTCTTTGTCATTGTATCTTTCTTTCTCTGTTTGTGTCTAGAGGAAAAATATTAGATTCCAAATTCTGATATAGACTAGACAGGATAATAAAAAAGGTGATGGTGTCTCTTCTTGGATTAGGAAATAAAACAGTACCGGTATGTATTTTACCCTGGAGACCTGGCCTACATAAAG